GGGGAAATTTGCCCTCTGTCAGCAAGTTTTCCAGGTATACTAGTAGTCAAACTGAGTACAACAGTTTGTCTTTGTAGATAAAATTAAGTAGAAAGTTATAGAAGATGCACTTAATGTGATATTTTTCACAACCAAATTAGGTGATTTTGATTTTTCTTCTTCACACCACTTTTGATTGTTTTATACTGTACTTGTTATTCAGAGCCCAGTAGAGTGATTATGAGGAACATTTATTGATGGCTCCCACAGAGTAAATACATCATTTGAATTGTAGTGATTAGATTCCATTTAAATGGTCAAACCTCTTTTGGGTAACTAGGCATGGGCCCAGTAGTATATTAGATACAGTGGGGTATTCAAATAACTCACAAAACAAATGTCCTGGAGGAGCTCACAGTTTTGACACAGAGACAGATAAATTAATAAATGCCCCGATAAATATGGTGGGCTTCAATATCAGCATTGCGTCATACAAACCAAGAGTCATGGAAGCAAAGGAGAGGGAGAGGTTAATTTTAAGCAAGAGAGCAGAAACGTTTTCTTAAGAGGAAGTGAGATTTGGGGCTAGAAATAAAGAAAAGTGTATTAGTCCCCTATTAGTTACAGGTAACAAATAAAATTCAAACTAGCTTAAATAAAAAGGCAATTTATTATCTTCTATACTAAGGATTTCTTGCTTATTGCAAGGGAGATCCAGGTTTAGCCTTCCCTCACTCTATTGACTTGATCACAGTCAAACTCTCCACAAAGAGGACTGCTAAAGATAGAAGCTTATATACTTAAGGCTAATAATCCAGGCCCTTCTATTTCCTAACAACCATTCATTAAAAATCAGGGAAGATTTCATTTTTTGTTGTTGGAAACTGGAGGGGGAGACGAACCATGAGAGACTGTGGACTCTGAGAAACAAACTGAGGGTTCTAGAGGGGAGGGGGGTGGGGGGATGGGTTAGCCTGGTGATGGGTATTAAAGAGGGTACATATTCAATGGAGCACTGGGTGTTATATGCAATGAATCATGGAACACTACATCAAAAAAGTTAATTTAAAAAAAAGTTGGAACTTAAAAAAAAATCAAGAAAGATTCTCATTGGCTCTCCTTGGGAACCTGCCCATCCTGAGCCAATCCCTGCGGCCAGCTAGGTCACATGCCCACCTTGTATAGAATGACATATGGGGCAGGACATCATGACTGACAATTCCACCAGATCAGTTAGAGTTGGGGAGCTATGGCTTCCCCCCAAAAAGCAACAGAAAGAACAGAGAGATGGTCAAAACTACTGGACAAGCACTATCATTACCATCTTCATTTCAGACAGGTAGAATTTTGCAAAGTATTATGAGGGCAAAGCATTTGTGAGCAAAAGAAAGAAAGAAAGGCTAGGATATGAATGCAGGAAAATGCAAGGAATGTTTTGAACACAGTGGGTGCAAGGGGCTTGTGGGGTATAAAGTAATTCTACCCCAGTGATTATAGTCTCTGAATTGATGAAATGTTATAGGTATGTTTTCCTTTACTTAGATATTTATACCTGGGGAGCTTTGCATGCACACAACTATAAACTCAGCATATTTAATTGTAATGAGAACTTACATTTGAAGTATATCTTGTGATGAATATGTTTGTAAAGCAAAGAATTAAGTTGCCACCAGAAACACTAACCTTTAATTTTTCTGTTTTGTACATTTGAATTCTTATGCATTTTTGCTTAGGATAATGTGTACTTAGACTAAATCTTTTTTTCCAAAAAATAAATTTTTAATCCCTTTAAAAAAATAACCCAACTTAAGGTTTTAGAGCATGGCCTGTTTCTAGTAAATGATTAATAAATGTATATAAATGCTTCTTTGAATTTGTATCAATAATTATAAAGTCATCTATCAATTTTAAAAGCCTATTTGGATCAGACATTTGTTTGTTCCTGGCAAAGCAGTGACTGGATGTGAATTTATATTATGATTCACAGAATCCCCATGGGCCCATGATGATACAAGCCAATTGATGTTTTAATCCTTTCTGTCCTTCAAAAAGAAATGAAATTAAATGCTACATTTTTATTACTTAGTATTTGCTACATCGAGCTAAGATTATAGATAGAATATAGAATTAAATCCTTGCAAAATGAATTTAAAATCTAAATTAGAAAGATATGTAGGATTCTGACCTTGAGAAATTAATTATAGAAGGGACAACTTAGTGAAGACTCAGGAACAAGACAAAAAAATCCAGAGATGGCAAAATATTCTGTCAGTATTTGCTGGTAATGGACTAAAGTATAGGATTGAAAGGTCAATTTCCAGTTCCAACTTTGTCCTGACTTAGTAATTTTGAGCATGGCACCTCTCTTCAGGTGAACTTTCCTATCTTCAAACTTATTCATATCTTAGAGAGAAGCTGCATGCTATATGAAATAATATGAAGCATTTAAACTCCTCAGAATAAAGTTTTCACAACAAAATGAAATAATAATAGGGTACACTGTATCAATTACATCTGCTTTTATCATATAAAGCAAGCAAATCGGGATGAAATTTTTTATGTTAGAAGGATTCATTTCAAAATATGATTTTAAGAAAAATTCAACTGGTACATCTAAAATGAACCAATCTGGAGCCACCTGGGTGGCTCAAGCCGGTTGAGCGTACAACTCTTGGTTTCAGCTCACGTTGTGATCTCAGGGTCGTGAGATCAAACCCCACGTCAAACTGCTTAAGGCTCTCTCTCTCTCTGGGTGCCTGAATGGCTCAGTCAGTTAAGCCTCTGCCTTTGGTTTAGGTCATGATCAGAGGGTCCTGGGATCAAGCCCCGCATTGGGCTCCCTGATCAGCAGGGAGCCTGCTTCTCCCTCTCCCTCTGCTCTCTCTCAAATAAATAAATAAAATCTTAAAAAAAAAACTTTTCCTCTGCTCCTCTCCCCAAAATCTGATTCATATTCAACCTTTGGAAAACATATTTTGCACTATGCAAAAATTATCCCATTACTACTTAATTAATACTCAATGCATAAAGCCATTCCTTAGAATAAATAATGTGTTAAATCAGTGGTACCCAGAAATATGTGACACATCCTTAGCTATTTAAAATTATCATTTAACAAAAGAAGTCATGTAACTGTTATCTGCCCTTTAGATATTTTGTATACTATTAAATACATTTTGTAAAATAGAAATTGAAAGTCTTGAGTATCTATAGATCTCAGACAAAAGAGTCATATGTGCCCTATCCAATTAAAATGACTACTTAACATTTAGTGAGCTAATAATGATTGTAATGTAATAATACAGTATGGGGATATAGATTATTTTAGAAGACATTAAAAGTTTTTTAAATTTAAAATTTTAAATATAAAATTAAATAATACTTAAAATATTGAAATAAACCCACTACAAAGAATCATGTGGTATTTGAATCAAATGAGGCTGGGGCTGGGAGTTTTTTTGAAGACAACACTGATGATAGGAAGGTGAGGAATTTCCCACGATGGTTGGAAGGAGTGTGGATAGCTAGATCATATTACATAAGAAATAATTGACATAGTCACCAAATTTTAAACAAGGTGGAATGTGAAACAAATGCTTCATGTTTAATAACAGAATATCTTTATCAAAATAATATCTCTGTCTGGTACAGGGCACAACAGATGAGTCAACGCCAAAAAAGGATGGGATAAAAAGATGAGCAACCTGCCTCCTCCCTCCCCCCCTCCCCTCCCCTCACCACAGACTTAGCACACCCAAAGAGACGGATGCTGAGAGATGGATAGGAAAGGAGAAAGACGGAGACGAAATGAGGAGAGACGGATGAAGAAGCTACACTGTTGACTTTCATCTCCAGAATTCCCCCACATCTGCCTCCTCCCCTATATCCCTTGTTTCCAATTCCCCTTTGTTTCTTGGCCTCCTTTTTTAATTCTTAGCTGAACTCCCTGTCCCTCTCACTCCTAAAATGCTGACGTGGTTTGGAACCAGCAACTCTGCTTTGCACCTGTGAAGCTCTTCCGTGACTTGAGTATTGATGATGTGATTATCCACCTATGACCCCACATACAGTAAACCATGGAGAAAGGCACCTATTCCTATTCCCTGTGGTAGCCCAGTGGAGCCTGGACCAATCTGTACATAAGCCCACTAGACACTATTTGATTATGAAAGGAGATCAGACTTAAACTCCAGAGAAAGATTTAGAGGAAGATCCAGCAAAATCAGGGCACGTATCTCACCAACTTCTACTTAGATAGCTTAGGATGGTTGGCCATCCCTCTACTAATCTTCCAATGTCAAAAACAGAGTTTGGTTTCTATTACAATTCCTGATAAACAGAAGGCCTCCAGGAAATATTTAATGAAAGAGAGATGAATGAATAAATAAAATATTATAAGCACCAGCTCTAAGACCTAAGAATGATTATACTGGTTTTTGAGGGTGTGCATGAAGTTATAAAATATGACGAAACTTTAATTAGTAGAACATGTTTGGTGAAATTTCCATTCATATTTTTTTAAGAAAAAAAGCAGGAAGCAGCTCAGCACATCTACTTGTCATCACTTTTAGAACATCTGTGGTTCTAAAACAGCTTTGAAAAGAGTTACTTGCCTAGAGTAAGGTCTGACTTCTGCTGTATAAGCATTGAAGTGTTCTAAATTCGTACGTGCTAGTACATACTCTCATAGATGGCAGTTAATGAAAATATTGATGAGGTGGCTTAAATCTTCTTCACACTCTGGTTTTATAAGAATATGTATATGTACATTTGACTCATTAAAACTTGGTCAAAATAAAGAAAAAAAGCAGAGGGAACAGATGCAACATCATTTCCCCCCCTTTTTTGCATGAAAAACTGCACATTTACTCTAGAAATCCCAAATAAGAATGTTTACAGGAACAGTCGATGGAAGCAGCATGGGCTGGCATATAAAATGCTTACTGTTTAGCAGGAGAAAACGTCCTAAATACAGTGTGTCTCTCTCCATCAGCTGGTGTTCCCTGTTTGTGTTTCTTCAGATTGATCGGCTGGACGTGGATAGCATGTTTAGCAACATTGAATCCGTGCATCAGATATCAGCCAAGCTGCTGTCATTGTTGGAAGAGGCCACAACAGACGTGGAACCGGCCATGCAAGTAATCGGTATGTTTATTCTCTTCTTGAGTTCTACACTACAACAGGAAATAATATTTTAATAACCTCCCTTTGCTTTGGATTTATGTTTCTGACTCACCAAGCTTACCAGGAGATGCATAAATGCTAAACCTTTCTTCAGGCTCATTGTAATTACACAAATTCTGTATCTGTCTTCAAATGGGTTTCTATCTATTTGCTCAAGTCCCACAGTAACACTAAGCACACCATTTGCTTTTTAATTTTCAATCTTTCAACCTCTTTGCCTTCCAGATGTTCTCTCATTTTGTTTTATGGCTAACACTTACTCAGTCTTTAAAGAATTAAATATTTAAATACTTTAATAGCTTTACTGATTTTAGTCACAGTATTTTTCAGATCTTACGCCTATGAATCCATTGACTTTGGGATTGTAAAATTTTTTGCATGAAGGGTTTTCATAATTTATAAAACACACAGGTTCTACTTCTCCCATGCTTTTCCTTTTTTCCCTATATTATTTGCTTTCCAGATATATTTTTACTCACGGTCATAGATTATTTTCTTACTCTGGTAAGATTTTGGAAAAAAATACAAAGATATCTTCGAGAAAACATTGAGCCAAATTTTTATCCCCTCCATTTCTTGGGTGTTTCAAAGGGAATACTGTACTGTGAACTTTCTGAAGGCAGTTACCTCATTGGAGATACATAGTGCTATGGAGGCTAAGACTTCTTTAAATTTTTTTTGGTTATTTTTCTATTTCAGGTATAACATGCAAAGTATGTTCCCTACAAGAATATTAAAACAAATCAGGAGTACAAGAATAAAACAATGCCACTATCTTCCTGATAAGTAACCACTGTTACCAGTTTGATGTGGATCCTTTCTTTGAGACATATACAGAGACACAAACACACACACCTTATATCTTTATTCACTGTGGCTTAGTTAGTGAAAATCAGGGTTTCAAAAATGAAATTGACCTTGTTTAATATTTATGGAAGACCCAAAGCTTAATAAGCAAGGCTGATATTAAGCAAAGGTGAATCAACCTATTTGTAGCGTTCCACAGACTGAGAGGTCAGCTCACTCAAAAAGATTCTCCCACAAACAGGTTTAAATTTAATCATTACTTGTGACTGAAAGTCCCCATCATGTTCTGAAAGTTTGTGTTCCCCTAACATTCATATGTTGACACCCTAACCCTCAGTGTAATGGTATTTGTAGGTGAAGCTTTTGAGAGGTGATTTTGGTTTAGATGAAGTCATGAGGCGGAGAGAAAGCGGTCCCCATGATGGGATTAGTGTAAGGAAAGGAAGACAGACCGGAACTCCTTCTCCCCTCCTCACCATGTGAGGACACAGCAAGAGGGCAGCTATCTGCAAACCAGAAAGGAGGTCCTCACTAGAAACTGAGGCAGGTGGCACCTTAATCTTGGACTTCCCAGCCTCCAGAACTGTGAGAAATCAATGTCTGTTGTTTAAGCCCTTCCTCCCCCCAGTCTATGGCATTTTGTCATGGCAGCCGGAGCTAACGTAGTTTCTAATAAGCTGTAAATATATTTTCTAAAGGAAGGACTCTATTCATTATTACTTTAGTGTGGATTCATTGTCCATTCATTTATTAATTCACTCAATGACTAGTTATTAAGTAGCAGCATGTATAAAGGTACTGTGTGGCATTGTTGGGTATCAAAAGATGAAAGAGATCATCTCTGTCCTTCAAAAGTTAGCCATTGAAAAGCTCCTTGAATTGAAGGTATTTGTGTAATACACCATCAGACTATTTTCTATGCCGCTGCAGTACTTCAGAGGATAAAAAAGAATATTTCTAGATGGGGAAATCACAGAAGGATCCTTGAAGATGTTTCTTGGTCCTACAGTTACAGTCCAGATTTCAATAAGTGGGGTCCAGTTCTGAAAGATTAAGTGAAAGCAACAGCATGAACAAAAGCATGGATAGCAAATGCCAAATGTCAAGCATGTTTAGGAAATGGCGAGAGATCAAGCCAAGCAGGAGTGAAGGATGAATCTGAAGCAGGAGTGAATCAGAAATGAATCTGTAGGGGTGCCTGGGTGGCTCAGCCTGTTAAGTCTCTGGCTCTTGGTTTCGGCTCAGGTCATGATCTCATGGATTGTGAGATCAAGCCCCACCTGGCTCCATGCTCAGTGGAGAGTCTGCATGAAGATTCTCTCCCCCTGCACCTCCCCCCACTCTCACACATGAGCACACACTCTCTCTAAATAAATCTTTAAAAAGAAAAAGAAATGAATCTGTAAGTGTAGAATAGAGACAGACTATACTCAGAATCAAATTTGGAATTTACTCTGCAGGTACTGAGGAGCCATTAAAAGATTTTTCAGCAAGGGTGTGATGAGACATACAAGTTTCTGGAGAAAGAAAACTATGGTAAGTATGAAGAGAATGGATAGAAGGAGAAAATGAGTACTAGACTAGTAAATAGGTTGTTATAAATAATGCAGTCATGTGGTAACAAGCATCTAGGCTAAGGTAGATACAGTGAGACTAAGAAAGGGGGCTCAGATTCAAGAGAAATGTTGAATAAAGCATAAACAAGATTTAGGGGTTGGCTGCCTGTGCTAAAGTCAAAGACAATTCCAGGTTTAAGGAGACAAGTAGCCTAATTTATCTAGAACATCCTGGTTTTAGCCTAGTCTAGCATTCAGTCCAGTTTAGCATTTATCCTGGAATTTCTCCTTTTTAAGGAGAATCATTATTAATCACTGCACTACAAGAGATTTGGTGAGACCTCCACATTGTACTCCAATTTCTAACCGGTCTCTCCTAATAGAATATAAGAGGCAGGTGTATTTGACAGAGTTCTCACCATAACACTTGCTAAACTCTGAAAGACAGCCCATCTTTCCTTTTCCAACCTTTTGAAGTAGCATACATAGCCCTGGCTGACGAGAAGACGACATTTGGACATGAAGCTAACTGCTTCCTGTTCCGATGCTGGTGGGAGATGTTTCTGATGCTACGGATTCTGCTGTCCCCTGGGCATAGCAGCTAGGATGTCATGGCCCATGATGGGTGGCCCTTGCCGTGACCCGTGAGAGGCAAAAAGCCACCAGGCTATTAGTCAGGGGACTATTAGCGGGGCAATTAGGGAATTAAAGATTAGATGTAAGTGAAATTCCTGTGACAGATAGAGGCTTTGCTGTCCTGCTACAGAGTATCTGGATGCTGTTGCTACAATAGTTGGGTAATTCATCTTATGATACAAATCCATAACTTTTTTTTAAAGATTTTATTTATTTGAGAGAGAGAGAATGAGAGATAGAGAGCACGAGAGGGAAGAGGGTCAGAGGGAGAAGCAGACTCCCTGCTGAGCAGGAAGCCCGATGTGGGACTCGATCCCGGGACTCCAGGATCATGACCTGAGCCGAAGGCAGTCGCTTAACCAACTGAGCCACCCAGGCGCCTCAAATCCATAACTTTTTAATAATCTGGTTATCTTCCTTTGTTTTGCAATAAACCCTTTCAGAAGCAAGTGTTTCATCTATGCATGTTTAACAAAAATTAAGTATTGGTTTTCTGTTGCTCAAGAAAGTTGATGACGAACATATAACACACAGAATACTTGCTCTCCACCATGGGGTTCTTAATGTTATCACTGACTGTAAGACAATCGGAAGAGAAGAAATCTGCTGAAGAAGCAGCAATATCTACCTCAAAAGTTAGTCATTGCTTTAAGAAGATTGTGCCCATTATTTTCAAACCTTGGCATTTGGCATTTGTGGACCATGCTTCTGTTCATGCTGCTCCCTCCACCTGGAACCTTCTCAACCTTCTTCTGACTTGTTGAAATCCTATCTATACTTTTAAGCCCAAGTGCATGTGGTTTCACACTTACAGCTGCAGAGGTGTATAACATTGAGCACTTTATGCAGCATGGCTTCATTAGGTCAAATGACAGTTATCCTAAGTTAATTTCTCTCATTTTCAGTTCTGAGTTTCCTTGGGCCTGTAAGAAATGTAAAGCAGTGGTTATTAATGAGTTGACACAAATAGCAGAAGAGTTTACAAACAGTTAAATTATGACAGTTTTATAACAGTGTGAGCAGATAAATTAAATTTAAAAATTAATTAATTCTGATAATGATAAAAAAATAAAAGGTTTAACCAGGGGCACCTGGGTGGCACAGTTGGTTCAGCATCTGACTGTTGGTTTCGGCTCAGGTCATGATCTCGGGGTCCTGGGATCCAACCTGCATCAGGCTCCACGCTCAGTGTGGAACCCGTTAAAGTTTCTCTCTTCCTCTCCCTCTGCCCCTCCCCTTGCTCTCTCTCTCTCTCTCTCTCTAAAATAAATGAATGAATAAATTAAAAGAAAAAAGTTTAACAATTCACAGAACAGACAAAAACCTTTTGGAAGTTTATTGTGTCAAAGGCGAATTTTCTGACCTTATTGTGAATGCTACTGTACTTTAAAAAAATTAAGCTTGTGAACGCAAATGATAATATGAGTACATATTTTGGGGGAGCACAGCATCTCAGTAAAATAATATTTTTACTAAAGTAAAAAAAAATCTATGGAACAAAAATTTACTTGAGATTGATTGTGGTGATTATGTACTAAAGCTGTGACATTCTATTAGTCGAAGTGGTAACTGTAGTCAAAATTCACACAGCTTTATATATACAAAGTTAGAGTAAACTATATACAATACCTGGAGGATAAAGCTGATATTAATTTTTTAAAAGATTTTATTTATTTGAGAGAGAGCGAGCATGAGTGGGGGCGGGGGGGGACAAAGGGAGAGGGGGAAGCAGTCTTCCCGCGGAGCAGGGAGCCCCATGTGGGGCTTGATCCCAGGACCCTGGGACCATGACCTGAGCCGAAGGCAGATGCTTAACAACTGAGCCACCCAGGCGCCCAGGCATAAACAATCTTATGCATGGTGGTAACACTTTCTTTGTTTGCTCCTGGTCAGTAATCAACTTTTAGAAATTGGCATTTTGTTCAAAATTAATTAGAAGTCTTTACTTAAAGTATTCAACAA